AGATTTAAATGATTTTTTGAGATATATTTTTATAAGGAATAGTAACTAATAATTATTACAAAAGAAAAAAATTAATAGTAAATTATTATAAAATACATTAAAATGTGATAAATTCTGATGCAGTAAACAGCCACAATTTTTATTTATAAAAGTAAGAATGATTATTAAATAAACCAAAAATAGATAACCATAATTTTACATTCATAACTATAAAGAACAATCATCAAATAAATGAAAAATATAGAATATTTAGTTACGATAGCAATTTACATTTGTAACAATTAGAAAAATTGTTAAATAAATTAAAAATGTGATAGATTCTAATATAGCAGATAGCTGCAATTTACCAAAAATAATGGCAGATTTTGATGCAATAAACTGTTGTAATTTTTATATTTGCAATTTTACATTCATAATAATAAGAATAATAATCAAATAAATGAATAATATAACAGATTCTATTCTGCAATGATGGAATTTATATTTATAATAATTAGAATAATTATTAAATAGATCAAAAAATATGGCAGATTCTAATATAGCGAAAAGCTGCAATTTATAAAAATAGTAACAGATTATGATGTATTATCAAATAAATCAGAATTGCAACAAATTTCATTCAGTGTATATTTTCACAATTATATATTTATAATAATAAAGAATAATTGTTAAATAAATTAAGATTCTATGTAGTAGATAAATTTATTGCTTTATATATATTGTATTAAAATTGACGTAAACTATTAAATTTTTGTCAATTTTAATAATTGTATAATATATATTAAGCAGTATGATCTTTTTGTAAATGAACATTCAGTCTATATTTAGTATATAGTTAACATGTTTAATTATGTTTAAAAAAAGTAGAAATAAAGTCTAATACTGATTCAATAAGCAAAATAGTAATAACAAAATAAATTCTATGAAAGATATAATGCTAAATATTAATAATAAAAATTATTTTAATGTAAGTTTTTATCAAATTTATAAAATCAAAAATATTTGTCTTCAATTAATAATACAATAAATTTTTAGATGAAAGATAAAATAGAAATGGTATTTAATAATATTAAAAGTACACAAGAATTTACTTTCAAAATTTTAATAAGAAGCTATAAAGAAATATATGAATCTGAAAGTTCTAAAAAACTGAAATTAAAAATCTTTAAAGAACTTGAAAACCCTGAAAATGAAACTTGTACAAAATTTTCTAATAAAGCTTATAAAGATCTAATATTACTAGGAAATCTGATCTGTTTAACATCTAAAACATGGTATATAAATTATAATATCATATTTCACATGATTAATTATTTTGTAACACAAAAGACATAACATGTAATAATGTAAATAAAATGTCATTGGTCCATCAGGCTTGCTGAATTTGAACGAACAAAATGACCTTGCATTTAAATGACCTAGAAGTAAAATATCCTCTATATACTTCAAATAATTAGTAATAAAAAATAAATTAAACAATAAAATTAGCAATAAAATTATATGATTTTTAATAAACATTTAAACCTTTCAAAATTCCTATTATTAAAAAACATCAAAAATGATAAACATTTATAAATTAGATGAAATTTCCAAATTTGAAGTTTTCAAGAATTAGTATAGTATCTGATAATAGTCTGAATTATATATTTTAACACAGAAATTTAATTATATTTAATACTATTTTATTATAATATGGCATATAATTTTAAATCATAATTTTAATATAGTAATTTAATGCTAATTTATTAAAATATATGTAATTAAATATTTAAAATTAACATCTTTTAAAAGCTAAAATATATATGAATCAATAAAAGATACAAAATATGTATTCATTACTCATATTAAATATATATCACTAATTTTAAATTTATAATAAGAAATTATAACCTTACATAAAATTTATACAATCCTATAATCTTATATAGAATTTTAACATAATATTTCATAATTTTATGAGCTCATAGGTTTTACTATAAAGTTTCATAAGTTTTATGATATTGTAAACTTATATAGGATTTTATTATAATATATTATAAATTTTACAATAACATAATTAAGATTGCGTGTCCAAATACATTTTGATTTGACTAAATATTTTAACTTTCAGTTTCACTAAATTTTTACTAAGTATTTAATATAGTTTTATCATTTTTATAAACTTTGATATATTATTACCTTTTCTGAATTTCGCAGATTTTTAATATAATTTAACCAAGTTTTATCTTTACCATTTAAACATTTTGTTTAAACTCTTGATTTCACCCAGCAACCTTAATTATAAACTTATAAAAAACATATTTAGTCATAATATTTTATAATAATTTTGTTATAAATATTTTTAATTACAATCAGTTACAATTTAAATTAATTATAAAAAAATGCGAAAAGATCAATTCTAAAAAAAAATTAAAAATTAAAAATTAAAAAAAAACCTATTATTCTACAAAAAAAATATCAAATCCAAATATTCCTTAGTATTTGAAGAGAAAGTTAAATCCTAAAAAAATTAAAATTAAAAAATTAAAAAAACTCTTATTCTTTTCGACAATCTTAAATATTACCTTAAAATCTGAAGAATCTTATAAAAAAAATTAAAATTAAAAAGATTAAAAAAAAATAAACTATCACCTTCTGAAATATAAATATTACCTTAGGATCTAAAGAGAAAGTTCGATTCTAAAAAAATAAAAAACAAATTTTATAATAAAAATTCAAATCCAAATGAACTAAAAAAAGATTGATTCTAAAAAAAAAATTAATTAAAAAGCTTCTTCCTACTGAAATCCAAAGTATTTAAAATTTATAGAAAAAAAGAAACCTAAAAAAATAATTATACGAAAGAAAAAAAATAAATATTAAAAAATAAAGAAATGGAAAAAATCTACTTACTCACTACTAATGATTACTTACCTTCAGAATTCTTTATAGAAATCTGCCAAATTTAATAATTTTTAAAAGATTTATTATTTTAGAGACTCATTATAGAAACATATCAAAAATAATGATTGTTTAAGAGAATTTATTATTTTGATGAACCTATTATAAAAACTCATCAAAAATAATAATTCTTTAAAAGAATTTATTATATTTGGCAAATTCATTATAAGAACTTACTAATTTGACGATATTTTGATAAATTCTCTATGTAAATCTATCAAATTTGACAATTTTTAAGTGAAAATTGTTATTTTGACAGATTATTTATGGGAACTATGGAAACTAGCCAAATTTGATGTTTCTCTAAGAGAATTTATTATTTTAGCAGATTTTCTATAAAGATTATCACATTTGATAATTCTCTAAGAAAAATTATTATTTTAACGAATTCTCTATAGAAACTTAAGATTCTTTAAGAGAAATTGAGAATCATTAATTTTATTTTTTTATAAATTAAGATGATATTTTTTTTATTTTTTTTTTTAATACAATTTTTTTAAAAAACTAAATAAAAATTAAGGCAATTTTATTAATTGGTATTAAAAAAAACTAAATCACATTTGACTTTTAAAAAGTAAAACAGATACCAAATTGTTTAATTCTTTTATCAGACAGATGAAAATTATAGCATGTAATGATAGTAACCTAAATAAACTTATCACTTTTAGTTTTACTTCTACTTCTACTTCCATTTCTATCTCAACCTCTTCTATTATAACTATTACTTTTAATTCTACTTTTAAAGTAGATAAAAAACTAAAAAAGCAATTAAAAAGTATAATAATCTTATTAAAAGTTTAGATTTAGGTTTTGTAATTCCTTTGAATGTTAATAAAAATATAGAAGTTTTACAAAAAAAATCAAAATATATATAAAAAAACATTAGTAACTATTTATAGGATAAATAATACAAAAAATAATTTTAATTATCAACTGATAAATAATGAATTATATGTATTAAGTATAATTATAAAAATTTTTTTAATAAGGGTTGCTTTTTTTAAAGGAAAAAGTATACGGAGGGTATGTGTGATTTTATCAAATTGATTTACTATTTTTTAGGATTGATGCGTAAAAAGAATAAAATAGAGGAGGTCTCATTCGAAAAAAAAAGAAGATATCATGTATTCAGGCACAATTTCATAATTATTATCGTAATAATATTTTTCACGTTAATTTTAATAAATACATAATCAAAGTTTTTACATGTATTGATAATAGCGTCAAAGTTTTGAGATCTAAATTTCCGTGATGAGATTAAATTAAGATAAATATTAATTACAAAATTTGGCTTTGAACCTTATTATCCGCCTTGCACAATCAAATCAAATGAAATTCAAACATACCTTCATATCAACTACAAAATGTATAAATCCACATCAAAATCAGAGCGATGATTCCTTTGCTGTTTCCGTATTTGCGTGGATTTAAGAGATGCTGATTGCAAACCATGACCAGAACTCTATTCTATACTAACAAAGTATTGCACAAAAATTAAATCGAAACAAAAACTTACCTGATATTATAATAGCTTATTCACAATAAATTTCTTGGGTGTGAATCGTAAAGAAAGTGAAATATAATAATAAGAAATTCAATTGTCGCTTCCTTAAAAAACTGGGATAAAATAAAAATATACACGAATTGAAAATAAAGGTAAACTTCACAAGTCGTCTAACATCCCCGAAAGGCTAGGCGTTTCATAAACCTGCCGATGAGACCTGAAGCGTGATGCCAAGGCGATCGACTAGGCGTAGGGAAAATGTTTCAGATCGGTGCTAAGATCTGCTGACGACTACAGAAAACACCCCCGAAAGGCTAGGCGTTTCATAAACCCGACGATGAGACACTGAAGCATAAAGCCAGGCGATCGACTGGGCGTAGGGAATGCTTTCCCGGAAGCAAGTGTTGTTCACAAATTACAATAGTGGACAAATTTATATAAACCACGTGTCCTAGTTAGAAGCTGCATGTCACGTGCTTTCGTCGCGTCGCGTTTAAAATCCGACCTTTGTGATTTTATTTAAAGATAATCAATAATTTTTTTTTTAGACCTAATGATGGAATCCTGTCCTGAATTTTTAAAAGTTAGCGTTTTTTTTAAAAGAACTTCTGCTTCAAATTGGGATAATTATGACCTTTACTTCTCAAAAGCAAAAAGGCCGTGTCAAGCTTCTTTTATACGAGATCTGTTGTTAATAGCGAATAGTCAAGATATTTCTTTTTCTCTACGTAAAAGGGCGTATGATATAGTTGAAGCTGTCAAAACTCGTAAAAGAAGCCATTTTCTGAATGTGCAGGAGACCTATCAATATAATCAGGAACGAAAGCGGCTTCGGGTAAGTTTGTACTTGAATAATCATTCGAATAATTGATTCGACTTCTCACAATATTCTGTTATTGCAGATTAACAATTCATTAAAAGTGGAATACGCTATTAATAAAATGATGACGAAATCCGTTGCAGAAACGGTAATTTATTTACTAGTTTCAGACCGTTTTGAATTGGGTTTGATTTAAAAATTGTACAAATATCTAGGTTTCGGTTCACAAGAAAAGTCCAGAATCTGAAGACAACGATGATAGGGAATATAGTGAATATGAAGAAGAAGATGATGATGAAGATACCGAATATGAAGAACATGATGATGAAGAAGATAACGAATATGGAGATAACGAGAAACATATAATTACTAAGTCTACAAAAAAAGTAAGAATTCAACATTTATATATCGGGTTGAAATATGTATTTATTTACTTACATTATATTTATCTTATAGCCCACGACTACCACTACATATGTAAAGTATGTACTCCAACTATTTATTGTCCTTTAAAATGTTAAGGAAATACATACATGTACTCTGACATTTTCCATAACATTGTTGCAGTCCGAATTATTCAAAGGTATTAACTGGAATTCAGGATGCGCGTCAAAACTCTTGTCCATTTACAAAGTACGTACTCTTGTTTATTTATTTTCCTCTTGTCAGTTCAGTCTGAGCTCCAATTGCTAAAAACATCCTAAATTCTGTTGCAGCATGTTATGCTGGGGGGTTGTGGATTTCCGTCCAATTAACGTTGGTCCTTGCCCATACTTTCCACGGGCTAACCAATTTTTTCATGACAGTGAAATTCAGAAATTTCAAGAATTGGCTACAAATGTTATAAAGGAAGAATCACACCTTAATACCTCAGTTAAAGCCTTTATTGAGATTTTCCTGCTTTCAAGCGTCTTCAGTCTCCATGAACTTTCCAAGTGCAAGCGTTCAAATGGGGTTGCTGGCGTCTTGTCCTTAATTTGCGGTCGAAATCAGGAAAATGAGGTAATGCAATTTATCATAAAAGCTCTCTGTATATCTGATGTTACTGCTGTCCAAGAACTATGTAGTCAACTAAATAAGTTTCAGAAATCCATTCATTGTCCAGATTTAAATCTCGTAAAACAAGTCGATATCAACGATACTGATACCCAATATATCACAGAATGCTTAGATGTTACGTATGTATCAATCTGCAAATACTATATTTATCAATAAATGGTAAAATTAGTTTGCTCTTTTTTTTAGTTACGCTTGGATACATAATTACGGGGGAAAAAGTGAATCGGAACGCACAATTGATGTTCATCTTGTTGCTCCATTTGCAAGGGCACCAAATTCATTATTTTTGTAGTAAGTGTGATCAGTTTTTTTTTACCATTTGAGACAGTATTAAAATTAAGCCTTTCACCTTTCAATAGCGGAGAAAATCACTCAGAAGCAGACAAATTGGATAAATCCGAGCGTTCAGAAACGTCACGATCTGGAAAACCATGTGACTTCATTTTCATTGTAAGATTTCCTTTAGTATGAAGAATAAAATGCATGTCTATATCTCTAAATAAGAATTTTTCATGGTGCAGAAACATAACTATGAAGCTGGTATCGGTGAAAATTCTGGTCCTCTATGTAAAGACAATCATAACAAGGGAATGACTAATTTTGTCGATGTTGTGAAAGTTGCACGTGCCCAACACATAGCACTAAAATTAAAATGTGTTGAAAAATGTGGATGCAATCCATTGCCACAAGATATCCAGGAAGCTCTTAAGTCTGTGACAATACCCTTCTTTCACGTGATTGGTTATAAAATCAGGTTTTATATTATGTTTCAAATTGATGGTAGCATTTATGGCTTATTCGAATGGGCCACACAAGATTTTCCTCAAATGGACAATGACATTGTCAATACTGTTTTTCTTGCAAAGAGATTTCTCATACATAGGGTACGTGTTAATAAAATTTATTGCTTTTATTACGTAATTTATTTTCGCTGACGGATATTTTTTTAGAATTTTCTCAATCGTGTTGGACGGTTAGGAGAATTGGCTGTGAGAAAGGCAACGATTGCTGGGGAAACGATGGAGTTAACACCAGGAAAAGAGACGGTGTTGGAAAAATTTGTAACACCTAAATCAAAAAGGTAAGTTTATAATGAATTTTTATAATTATTCATGTTATTGTGATAATCATGTTAACATGTTTGTAGGGAACTATTGTCTGAGAAACCTCGTTCTCAGTCACCTACACCAATATATCCAATGAGAGAGAAGATTGGTATAAATTTAGAACAGTGGGTTTTGGAGAATGATATGTTTTCAAGTGAAACTTAAATTTTTATTCAAATGCGTCATGCGCAGAAAAAAATCTTGCGTAATTTACGGAAATAAAAAAAAATAGGTTGCGTATTCTTATTTCTACATTTTCTTTTACATAGATAAGTTTAAAAATAATTCAATATAACTGGCTTAATGGGATTTATATTATTGATTATAATAAACTTTACTAAAAGGATTTTTTTTTGTAATTATTTTTTAATAATATTTTTGTAATGTTTATAATCATTTTTAAATGTTTGTAAATGCTGAAATGATTTTATAATATTTGTAAGTATTTTGTAATCTTTTAGCAATTTTTGTAATTATATTAATTAATTAGTGAATAATTTTTATAAGGCTAATAACCAATTCATATATCTAAAATTCACTTTCAGGAACAATATATAAATTAGCTGTAATATAATCAAGGTTATGTAGGTTATTTAACACCATATTGTTATAATATGATCAACATATTTTTGAATAAAGTAACAGACCATTATCAATATGGCTTCTATTACGTAAGTTTTTAATATATCTATAGATGTATGGTTTTCAAATAAATGGTCTCTTTTGATCTGTCTTAGTTGTGGCTCGAAAAACTTTGCTAATATAATCAGTGCATATGAAATTACAAAGATGGAAAGCATATTCAAATAATCAAATTTAGTAGTATTCAAAAAAAAAGATCCTAGTATAGAATTTTAAATATGATAGTTTAAGGATATTTATTTGAGTATTAGAGCAATAAAGTAGCATTAAGAAGGCGGGTAAAGTTTGCAGGATAGTCATTTTGGTAGAAGAGCAGTCAAATATCATTAATTTTCGATATCTTTGTAATCCTCCTAAGGTTTTTAATGTCATCCTTATTAGTATCTGTAATGGTTAAACTATCAGTAGTATCGTCATAAATAATATCTACATTATCTGATTCTTCTACGTTCATCTGATCAAAATTTTCAATTAGTCGAGATAAATCCCCATGTAATGAATTATTTATACTGGAAGAAGAAATAACGCTACTCCGCTGTAGTGCTAATGATTGAAGCTTTGCTTCATCATCTATATTCATTTGTTTATTTCTTTTATGTTTGATTTTGTAATAATTGAATCCAATCGATCAACTACTTGGATCATGTCTGAACGATTATCTGGCTCATTATCCCAGCACTCTAAAATTATATAAAATCTTAATTAACGTAAAACATAAATTTTAAATTCTTAATTAAAATTTTAAGTTAATATATTTACCAGTATAAATATTGTTACAAAAAAATATAATTGTTCTATCGTGTTCTATTAGTTCCAGGGCATTGTGTCCCATTTCTGTTTAGTTTAAATCCAAGTTTTGTTAGTATTTAGTTAGACTTTTGTAGATCGATGGCCCAATTGTCCCCTGGCCAAATTGTCTGCAGGCCAATTTGTCTCCTGGCCAATATGCCATCCGGCCATTATGTTTCGAGGACAAAAAG